CTTTTTAAATAAAAGTCTAGTTAAAATTACCAAACTATTTCGTCTATCTACTTAAATGTTAATCAACGAACTAACTTCATTATTATCAAGTAATTTGATTAAAAAAAAAAGATATAATGGTGCAGGAATTTTTATCTCAATATCTCAATATTATACTCAATGATATGATGTAATGTATGTTCATCATAAGTGTATATTATTATGTTTTAAATTTTAGTGTAAAAACTGAAAGAGCTGTAATATGTCTTGAGAAATGAACAAAAATGTGTAAAGTTTGTGCAAAAATAAATGTATGAAGAAGTAACTGTGTTTTTAATATAAAAAGAATGTAATTACTATATAGTTATTGTTACTTCTTAAATAAAAGTATAGCCAAAATTACTAAAATATTTCGTAATAATCTACGTAAATGTTAATTAACGAAATGAAGATTTTCATTAATATCAAGTAATTTGATAAATAAAAGATATAATGATGCAAGAATTTTTAATTCAATAATATGGTGTAATGTATGTTGGCCATCATACATACCAATCATACAACTTTTAAATAATAAAATTATTAATTATTTTAATTTATTTTACTAAAAGATTGTTTGTTCAAGAATTCTTCCAAAAATAAAATAGAAGAATATATTGTGTTTTCAATTTTGGTGTAAAAAAATGAAGCTATCAAACACGAATTTCTTTCAAAAAATTATTTTAAATCCATACGTTTTGGCTATAATCTTAGCCTTCATTCAGTGGAAACTAAAAATAAAATTAAAAACTAATAACAATTGAATTGGAGTGGAAAGAAAATAAAATAGTAAATAGTACTTACAATTAGTTAATCTTAGTGTTAAATTGGAAGATTTTAATAATCTGTGGTATCAGGATATGGTAATGCACTACACTATGTAATATAAACATTAAATTAGTATTTTGTGAAAATATTATTTAATTACAAGTTTAATGTTTATATTACATAGTGTAGTGCATTACCATATCCTCATACAATGGATTATTAAAATCTTCCAATTTAACACTAAGCTTAACTAATTGTAAGTACTATTTACTCTTATTATTTTTCTTTTTACTCCAATTCAATTGTTTTAAATTTCAAATTTATTTTTAGTTTCCACTGAATGAAGGCTAGGATTATAGCCGAAACGTATGAATTTAAAATAAATTTTTGAAAGAAATTCATGGTTTTTATTGATGTTATGCAAATTACTAGACTTTGTTAATACATATGTCAACATATAAAATTCAGAATCATACCTGGGAGCAACAAAATTCGTAAATATCCATAATAAGGACCACCCTAATATATATATATATATATATATATATATATATATATATAAATATATATATATATATATATATACAGGGCCGGTCCTACCTTGAATGCAATGCATGCAAAAAATGCGGGCGCACGCCTTAGGGGGCGCCAAAACGAGATTTGGATATGAAATTTATAATATAGTTTTTCAATATCATTTAAGAAATATATACTTTTCTTGCATTTTCTACTAATCTCTGGACGATATTTTTACAATACGTTAAAAATTTCACTTTAAAACAATAAACGGGAAAGTAAAGATAAATACATACTATTCGTCCCTTACGATATCAGTTAGGAGAAGTTTACTATGCAATTTTAGATATTTTAAATAATGAAAAATGAATTAAAATAATCCAACAGAAAATGCCAATGCTATGTTTAATAATGAAAGGCTAGAATTTTTTTAATCTATATGCTTTGCTCGATAGAATAAATTGCATAAAATCCCTAAAATAAATAATTAAAATGTTTCAAAACCCAAATATTATTATTACGCATGCGTTAGAAAGAATTGAAAATTTAAGAATATTCTTGCAACCAAGAAATAACATATTGAAATTTTTGAATGAGTGTTGAAAAGTTTGGATTGAAAATAAAAATTTAAAAATAGTAATGAGCACCCGCGAATTGCCTCGATCTTCTGAATAATTTCAAAATCAATGTATTTTTTAGTTTATATGTATCTATTTTTTTTGTACTGAACATAGAATTATTAAAAAGTATTTTAAAAAATTAATGTAAATTTTTGTATAATTTTAATGATGAACTGTTAAAACAGTTTAAATATTAAGGGAGGGATGGGGTCGCTAGAAAAATAATTGCATGCGGGCGCTGAGGACCCCTGGGCAGGCCCTGTATATATATATATGGCTGAGATGTATAAAATTTATATTAAAATTCAAAAAAAAAATTAAAAAAAAAAACAACGAAATAAAATACTTTTGTTATTAATTATCAAACATTGCCGCTTATCTCCCGATAGCAATGACTTACAAACGAAGGTGATGGCTGGGTATACATCTTTTGCCCTCTACTTTCAAATATTGTTAAAAAATTCTTAACTTCACTGTTTTTTTAGATATCGGTGATTATAATAAGATAAAAATATTAATAAAAATATATTGTTACCATAGAATTTCGAATTACCAATTCCAAATTGCTAAACCACCAGGTCGTTGCAATATCTTCAGCTGACATATTTGTCAAAAGGCATGAGTTAAAATAATAATAATAAAGTCGAGTTAACGAGCTATGAATGTTTCTCTTACGCATGAATAACTGTACACAACACGATATATAGGTACATAAACGTTAAACGAGAAAATGCAATAACAACTCTACAAAAAAACTCTTCAACACCCGATCGCATTTTGCCGTTATAATGCATCGACCTAACCTAACATGAAACACATTAGATTGGACGAAAGATACAGATTGGATTCTAATAACTAACACAACATACAATTCTGATTATCACTTACCAAAGTTAATGAGAACTCTTGTAATAACACTTAAGACAATTGTTCCTTATAATCACTTGTATACAATATCATTTCTTTGTGACTAACATTTTCTTGATTATATTACTACTTTATTCGACAATTAATTACTACACCATACAATTAATCGTGATTCATTTGATATTGTTTAATTCATCGAAATTAGAACACTATTATCAGAGACGAAACATACGATGTACACTCAATGGCAGTTCGCGAGCAACTAGTGGTTTGAAATGGGCGGCTGGAGAAGGAGTGTTGCCAGAAATTAGGTTATGTGATTAATTGTTTCTTGTTAGATGGCAGCACTGGTTAATGAAATTTGAATTTTTGCGCCTGAATGAAATAGAAAAGTGAAAATTAATTTTTAGAGAAAATAAAATTGAATAATTATTTTTTGATAGTGTACTAGATTACAAGGTTAATAAAACAATGAAAATAACTATTTCTAGACTCCAAAGGAGCTGATATGTAAATATTTATAAAATTGTATCATAAATAGATTATTTCATAAATACTAGATAATCTATAAAAAATATTTATTTTATATTTTATTATATATTTAAATCTAATTTTTAAAAGAATGGTTTCAGTAATACCATAAATTTGAAGTCATTCAATAAGTATTATTTGTCTTCAAAATGAGCTATGTAAATTACTTTGTATAAATATTTTGTACAATCTCTTATACCAGACACTTCTGTCTGCATGAGATGTATATAATTTACATTAAAATATATATATATATATATATATATATATATATATGTATGTTATATATATATATATGTTATATATACATATATATATATACAGTATATATAACAGTTGTAACATTTTACAACGAGTAAATTATTTCATAAATAAATATAAACAATATATTATAATTTTCAAAACACTGCTCTGAGTAATACTCAGTCAACTATTACTATTCTTTAAAGGAGCTTATTTAAACATATATAACCATTAACACATTATAAAACAAAAAATAATCAATTTATAAATGTACGAAAAATATGTTTCTTATATAATTTAAAAAAAATTGCTTGGCGTTATATACACCTTTTGAAAAATTGTTCAATAACAATTACTAATCTTTAAAATACCTCACAGGTAAATATATAGATGTGATAACATCATAAAACAAAAAATAAGCAATTTATAAATATATAAAAAATTTATTTCAATTCAAATCTCAAAAGGATTCTTCATGCAATACATTTTTTTTAACTATTACTAACAAGAACTATTACTAGTTTTGATAAGAGCTGATGTCTAAATATATAATCCTTAAAATATTATAAAACAAAAAATAATTGATTTGTAAATATACAAACAATATGTTTTAATTTAACTTTTAAAGAATTGCTTTGTGTTATACAAAATTTTTGAAGTTATTCTATAAGTATTACTAGTCTTTAAGACCTGGTAGATGACCATTAACCGTTATAACATTATAGAACAAAAATAATTATTTTTGTTGATTGATTTATTTGTTGATTTTGTTGAATTGATTAATCAATTCATAAATATGAGTAAAATGTATTTTAACTTCATTTTCTAAAAATTACTTTGAGTTACACCATAACTTTTAAAGTTATTCAATAAATATTACAGTCTTTAAATTAAAGGAGCTGATAAGTAAATATATAATTGTTATAACATTATAGAACAAAAAAATCTCTTCATAAATATGTGAAAATAATATTTTAATTTAATTTATAAAAGATTGCTTTGTACAATACAAAAAGCTGATAGGTAAATCTATAACTATTATACATTTATATTGCAAAAAATCGATTGGAGTGGATCATTTATTTATTGTTCAGTCGTATTATTAATTATTGGCAGTTAATCTCATTTATTTCAGATGTTTTAAAATATCTTATAAATAACCATCTAAATTTATTTTACAAAAATGTAAAGATGAATGTAATTCAATTTTGAAAGAATTTAAAACCAATGACTTTGATCTAAACTGAGAATTAGCAATTTAACATGGTAATTTCAAACCTATTTAAAAATAACCAATTACCTTAATCATACAATTAAGTATTATCTTTCACAATCTTCAAATATCATAATATAATATTCAACTTTTCCAAATACTTCTTTCAATATGTTATTGATTATCCATTCCAAATTAATAATAAAATAAATATATTTTTTCTGTCATCTCTTCAAGCATATTTTATAAATATCCACAGGTGTTTTATATTTTGTGCCACTCTGTGGAAATGCAAATCTGGTCATTTTTGAAATTTCGAGTTGTAAATTTTCTGAAAATATACAAAGTCTAATAAATAAGATACACTTGAACTCTCCAATAAGGTATATAATTATATTATTTTTTTTTTTTTAAATAAAAATTAAAAACACTTAAAATCTTTAAAAGTCCCAATTTGAGTATAGATTCATCTATGGAAAAAGAAAAATAATTATGCAAATTGAAATATTCATACTTGATATAAAAAAATTTAAGTATTTCATGAATTTACAATTTGATATTTATTATTATTTTTTATTACCTATTTTGTTGACAAAATTCGAAATTGTATCTTGATTTCTAACTGTGCATGCAATATATGCAATACAATTATTTTTTCCATTTTTCATCAATAATAATTTAAGGCAGTTGCACAAGCATGGAATGATACTTGGATCATAAACTACATCAGCAGCAAGAATTAAATCTATATCTAAAAATTCTTCCAAATAATCTGTGTCTTCCCAAGATAAATTTACTACACCTAAAAGAGCAATATTCTATAATGGTAATAAATAATTATAAAGGCAACATTGAAGACAATAAAAAATTCTCATACTTAGCTCATTATCCTCTGGACTTCTCCATGTTTTTTATAAATCTTGTATCCACACCAATCATTTTGTTCTCGGTGCAAACAGTAAAATTTGTAAATTCCAAAAATTTATTACGCTGATCACTAAAATTCAGTGCAATATTATCACTTAATAGATCAAGCACTGATTTATGGCAATCTGAAACATAGTATTTTTTTGGCTCGCAGATTGTCCATAAAAATATTGCTGTTAAACCTGTGCCAGCTCCAAGTTCAAGAATCGTTTGATTCTTTACTAAATTTGAATTTTCTATAAAATATTCAGCCAAAGCTTGTGAAGCCTATAAAATAAATAAAACAAAATAATAAAATAAAATTCTTAAATTAGATACATTGATAATATATAAAAATCATTCTTTGCATTACTGCATGGTCTTTTATAAATTTTAATGAAGATTATTATATAAAATAATAAAAATAATGTGAAGAAATTAAACAAATATAAATGAATAAATAAAAGATAAATTTATATTCAATTTTATATTATTTAGCAGAATTTTATTAAATAGATTTCACATTCAATCAATGCCTAATATATATATTTGCTAATTAACTTAATAATAAATAAATTATAATAAATTGTAATACCTCCCAACTGCAAAGGCCTGTTGTCCCTTCTGATACAAAGCTTATTGATTCCTTAATAGTAATAATAGTTTTTAAACCTCCTTTATCTACTATGTAGTGTTTATAAGACTTTTTATCACAGTTTTGAGATCTGTATTTAATATACAGAAATTGGTATATAAATCATCGTGTACTTCAATATTTTGTTTCTCGAGTGTAGATATGATAGTTCGTATAAAATTTCGTTGATAGTCTTTTTTAATAGGATATTTCTTGACTAATGGGTGTGATACTGTTGAATTTAATAAAAGCTGCTGATTGTCCCAAGTTATGTCTTTCAACAAATCCTGGAATAGTAAGCATAAATTTATTTAACAATATTCATAGTAATAAGTAATATATTACTTGAAAATATTTTATTATTATTTTTTATAGTCTATTAAACTATTCTATATTAAAATATTCCATATTAAATAAATATTATGAATACGATGCTGTTGAATTTAGTAAATTTTTTTTATTGTATAAGCAAAATAGTAATTATTAATAAATCAATGATGTCCGAAATTATACGTTTTTCAATAAATCCAATTGCAATATTTCTGTGCAATTTTATCCAAAAATATATAAACTACTTTGAACCAATTTATTATCTTCTATATAATATATAAAAATAAGTCGGGTTTTCCTTCCTGACGAAATAACTCCAGAACGCACAAGCCGATTTCGACAATTTTGCATTCGTTGGAAAGGTCTCGGGCTCCGCAAGGTTTATAACTAAGAAGAAAATTAGTGGTGCATGGCATCGTGCCCTAATGCAAATTCCTGGAACTTCATGTACCGTAATTAAAAATTCGATTAATGATATTAGTGAGAATTATCAGAATTATGCTTGGTTAAGTCAACGAGCAATTCTTGCCGCAAAGAATAATGATGTACACGCACTGAATTTCACCATTCAATCAAAAATTGCTGGCGATTTGGTGACATACCAATGATTCCGACTGGTTTCCGTTTGACTTTAAACGATTGCAATTTCCAGTTCGCCTTGCGTTCGCAATAACAAGTCGCAAGGCCAATCCCTTAGTGTTTGTGGGATAAATTCCGAATAGATTATTTAGAAAATCATTGTTTTTCACATGGGCAGTTATACGTTGCCTGTTCACGAGTTGGAAAACCATACGCTTTGTTTGTGTTAACGTCAGACCAAAAAACAAAAAATGTGGTTTACCAAAGAGCACTTCAATGAAACGGATAATTTGCGGATTCATTTCATTTCATTTACTTAGAAAAGTTCAACTAAAAAACACTTCATTTTTGTAATCGAAATAAATTCATTTCTGTTGTATAATAAAATCAAATTTTTCCTATTCAAATATAAAAAAAAACAAAAAAATTCTTCATCTTTCTCACGAAACCATCTGGTGGCGAAACGGAGTTCGCCGGGTTTGCTAGTTACTTATAAATTAGTTCAAAGTATAAATTTACTGAATTTATAAATTCAGTCTTTTTATTTTCAAATTGGTTGTGATATTCAAAATTTGAATCAACACCATTTATAAGAATAGTCAGATTATCATATTTTAATTGTTATATGCAATGAATGTTATAGCATTCAAGTCAATACAGATCAAATTTTCTCTTACAAATGATGTGAATGCTATAGCAGAATACATAAAAAAATTAGGTTTAATTATGGTTTAAGTAGACTATTTATTTACTATTTATTTTGATCTGCTGGAGGTGAATGCCATTGTCGGAAGCACTCCCCTGGACACAGTGGAGGTTTATGTGTACAATCCTGGCACCGGTGTGATGTGAATTTAATTATTTTCTGTCTATAACAGTACTTGCATTTTAAGAAATACGTAGTAGTCAGATTATCATATTTTAATTGTTATATGCAATGAATGTTATAGCATTCAAGTCAATACAGATCAAATTTTCTCTTACAAATGATGTGAATGCTATAGCAGAATACATAAAAAAATGAGGTTTAATTATGGTTTAAGTAGACTATTTATTTTGATCTGCAGGGGGTGAATGCCATTGCCGAAAGCACTCCCCTGGACACAGTGGAGGTTTATGTGTACAATCCTGGCACCGGTGTGATGTGAATTTAATTATTTTCTGCCTATAACAGTACTTGCATTTTAAGAAATACGTTTTGCGCTTGTAATTTGGCGGCAGCGGGATTTTTTCCTGATAGTGTGCATTTTGAAGACCTGTTGTTGGATTGTACCTAACATGCGTTTGTGGATTAGCATTTTCAAGCACAAAATCACGTCCATTTGAATTATGCGGGATTTTTAAAAGCGTATTTATTAACTGGTCTCGAAAATCGAGATAACTAATGTTTGAATCATTTATTTTTTTATAAAGGTAATAAGAATTCCATACTGAAATATCTAGCAAACGGAATATTACTTTTTTGTACCATCGGATAGATTTTCTAGGTGATGAATAATATGTTGTCATCTGATCATATCTGTCCGGCATGTTTGCATTATATTGGGCTACTTCTATCGGTTTTGTTATCCAAGTACCATGTTTATTCTGCACAATAATTAATTCAGGATGAGTTTCTGTTGTTATACAGAGTACATCCCGTTTGTCCTTCCACTTACTAACATACACATTGCCTTGTCTTCTCCATATGTGTTCTCCTCTCTTCAATCTTGTTTGTATTATGATTTTTGGATTCCCTTTGCGATTGGTACGTAAAGTCCCAGTGGTATGAGTTTGGAAACCAAGTAATCGATTGCTTAGTCCAACACTAGTGTAGTAGCTATCCATAAATAATGAATAACCCTTTGATAAATACGGTTTCATTAGATTCATAACCACAGAATCCACTACAGACAAGGAATGAGTCTCCTTTGATATTTTACCTTTATATATGTCTACATTAAGAGCATAGCCATCATGTGTGCAAAGTTCGTAGAATTGAATCCCATAATTATTTTTCTTTGATTTTATAAGCATTGTGGACTCATCTAATGATAAATTCTTCCCAGGTTTATATGCGGCTTGAAAAGAAGCATTTACAAGCTCCAGGAAATTGAAAACCTTAGGTAATCTGTCATTTGTTGTTATGGATTCACAGTTCAAACAACGCAAAAGCTGTTCAAATCTGCGCCCCGCCATTGATGCCCCAAAAATTGGATGGTAATATAAAGGGTTGCTTGACCAGTTTGTACGGACGTCTGGTGTCTGTATTTGAGACTGCAGCAAACACAGACCAATAAATACTTCCATTTCATCTAGGTTTGTTTCCTTGAAGCTCTGTAATTTGGTCCCATATTTATTTGTACAACTAACAATTGAATCCATTATTTCTTGATTCCAAATTTTATCGAAAATGTCCTTCAAAGTTTTACAGTTAATAAGAGTATCGGGTATACCCACTGAAGACGAATCAAAGTGAAAGTCTTCAATATCTGCTGTATCTTCACTCCATGGGGTATCTGTGTCAGGTGTCTCATTTGCAATATTGACATCAGCAGTATCCTCCGAATCAGAAGATGATGATGTTGACAATCTCTTGTCATTTGGTAGGATTGAATTAGGGGTACTCTCCTGTTCATTCAACTTTCGACCTCCTAACACAAAACAATCTTCATCAAATTAATGTATTCTTTCATTTCTAAATATTTATAAACAATATACTAACCTGTATCTTCATCTGAATCGGTATCACAGAACACTTCCAAAATCTGTCTACGCTTCTTATATGAATACATTTTTAAAGTAAATCGAAAACCTTCTGTTGTACTTATGTTACAGACAATATGTATAATATAATATGTTGTGTATTTAATTTATGATGAATATAATATTATGTATATGTGATGCTTCAATCATATATTACAATTTATTGACTAGGGCTTCAATTGTCAAATCCAGTGCACAATGCAGATGCTATAGCATCCACGTCGAGTGTTACGCAAATTAGCACATACACATGGAAAAGATAACACGAAAATACCTAAAGAATCAATTTCTTTATTATCTTGACAGGTATAATAAATACAGAAACGCAATGTTAGTGACAAGATAATTGACTTTAAAATTCGAATGCTATAGCATCCACGCCATTGTGCATCACAAATTATAATGAATGCTATGGAATCCACGTCAAATATTACGCAAATTGGTAGATATACAGGTAAAAGATAAGATAACACGATAATATCACAAGAACCAGTTACTTAAGTTAATAGTTATTGATAATTACAAAAACATAAGGTTATTATTTAAATGCTATAGCATTCATGTCATTCTGCATCACAATGATAATGGATGCCATAGCATTCACGTCCGCGAACTTTGACTTACAAATAGAATGGATACTGTTGCTAATATGTCTTATTGTTTCAAAACTTATAAATTTTAGAATTAAGTTGTATATAAAGAATTCTTTAATTTTTAGTTTAATTTGTCTCAAACAAAATGGTTAAGGTTCACAATTGTTTGATAAATTAAATGTAGAATCTACGATTTAAAAAAAAAACAAAACAACTAATAATGTAATCCTAAACAATTTAAAATATAATATATTCAAGAAATTATAATACTGAAATATAAACATGAAACCTAACCTCAAAAAAATCACCAGTCACAGGTTCGCCTGATAGAAACTGTTTTTGCACCCATGAAATTAATTTATAAACTTTTTCATCATAAACTTCTTTCACATTCATTTTTATTAAACTTGTTATGGATATGTAAAATATTAAAATTTGCACTTCTTAATTAGTTTCAACACAGAACTTAACAATCATTTGTTACTTTATAAATCTACTAATTTAAAATCTATTAGTTTTAGTTTAATTTTCTAGTTATTTAAGAACCTTTTCATTATTAGTTTTGTTGGAAAAATTATGAAAACTATATGTAAACACTTGCCGAATAAAATAAATATGTAAAATGTTTGACACAAAGATATTTTATCTCACCACGTGTTTGGCCATTTTTTGACATATCCATAAAAAAAATTATATATGAGAATTTATATAAGATTCTTATTCCTAGACAATATACTAATTGATTCTTATTGGACTCCTATTTCAAATTAGTTTCAAATTTGAAATTCAACTATTATCATTATTAAACCGAATTAATCTAATATTATTTATAGTGCAAAACGTTATTTATATTTATTTGTATAGAATTACACTTGTAGTGTCTGTAAATACACAACAAAGGATTGTAATAAAGTATTAATTATTGACAAATTTCTATGAATTCGTAAAATGTGTATTACAAATGCATGCAAATGCAAATATAGACAATCTTAATAATTCAACATTATAGAATTTGTTTAATTCAACTAAGAATTTCAATTAATATGTATACACATTATAAATTATTAATTTACTATGCTGTTACAAATACTATACTGAAAATAACATGCAGTACAAGATTTTAAATATTTTTTATTCAAAAACAATCCCATACATGTCTTACAATAAAAGATACACAAATCTGTTTTCAAAATATTAAATAAAGATAAAACATGTTAAAATATTTCAATATATTAGCCTATTTGCACACCTCTATATAAAATCAATAAAATCGGATATAGAAATAAAATTCAAAAAATGTATATAATACAAAACATTTCCTTTACTTGGCAGTATACAACAGTGCTGATTTTTCATGTACTATTTATTAATGCATACTGAACTTAACATTTCATTGAATTAAATTATTTTACAAAATTATTTTACAAAACATTACTTTACAAGTTTTGCAAATAGTTTTAATATAATATTCAAAAAATAACATTATTTTTTATGCAACATAGCTATATTCATCACTAGAGTTCTGTTTGCGTTCAATATATTGCTTGTCTATTAAAGATTCTATACATTTCTTAATCATAGCAATATTGGGATTGAAATGACTTTTGATTGTGACAATACTTCTTGAATAAGTGCATTGTGCTTCAGGACTTTACGGGATTTCATAATTCTGACTATAGCAGCCTGTATAAACATTTTCCTATCATCTTCAACAGCTGTCATCGTATGTTCGACTTCTTGCGGAGTATCACGTTGCAATGCTGCTGTTATTTTGAACTTTGTGCGTTTATTGGAGTATTCGAGGTTTAGAGAAATTTTAGAATTGCTTACTAGTTCTCCGTCGGTACTCACTAGAAGTAATTTGGAATCTATAAGACTTGAAACATGCTTTTGTAGAGTATCACTATTTAATTGTAGAGCTTCTTCAATATCCTTATACAGCAGTGAATCTGTTTGTTCAAATAAGAACAAAATTGCCATTTGATAAGTTTGCATAGTTATTATGTAAGTTTTTTTTAAATATGACAATTTTATTTCACAATTGCATAAACTATGCAACCAATTCAATTTTCTACCGCTGAAATGGTTGTGATAGAAGCTTTCAAATATCTGCATGGACTTTTCTAGTTCTTGCGGAACTGTAACTGCACATTGAGTTTGTGTTTGACCTAAAGGCCATGCCCTGTTTGTAAAACAAGCATGTACATATTTATACCTAAATCCAGATTGTTGTCTTTGATGTAATTCTGAAATTTAGCATTCAAATCACTAGATATAGACATATCTGTAAACATGCGATGTAATTTATTGGTAAATTCATATCCACAAGCTTGCTTCAATCGATCTATCATAGCTTCTTCCGAATCCATGCTATGGGATTGTTGATGTATCAAACGCTTAGCAAGCATCCTACTATAAAATTTCTGAAACATGTCTTTGTCATCTATATATTTGAATATGGTGATGCTAGCTGTAAGTTTTTCATCAATTTCTAACTCCGATATACCCTTTGAAGATTTCTTAAGAAGACTATCACAGTACTTAGAGAGCAATTCAGGACTTCTGCAAGGAGCTCTTTCATTAATTCTAGCATTAATTACTGTTGCACATGCCTTATCCATGGCACTGCAAAATAATTGATCATTCGAAAATACTTCTAAAATCATTTGCTTATATTTCTTGTGAATCTCCAACATCTGTTCCACAAATTGTACATGTATATTATCCCCCTTAGCCCTGAAAATATTCTCATACCTCCTTCTGTTTGATGTGCTCATTTAAAGTAGCAATTAATTTAGACAAACCATTTTCTATAGGTTGCAGAAGAGTGTACATATTTTTTAAATCTGTTTTCTTTCTTGAGAAACCATTTCATATACTTCACTGTATAGGAAGTCTTTATGTTCTAAAACCATGCATTCCTCACTCTTGCGTCTCAATTTAGGGTGTGTACTGGTGTGTATAAACTTGAGTACATATTACTTCTTCATGAAGTTTTTGAATAACTTGTTCCATATATTCACTAACTGTGCAGTGCTGAAGAGTTTTGAAGCTTCCAGTTTGTAATGTTGTGCACAAGCATCTAAGAAGTAATCTCAAATACTTCACGATATAGATTAAATTACCTTTCTTCTTATAACCTTCTACTTCCACAAAGCTATTGATAACCGTTTTTAAATTCTTCCTTTCCTCGCTATTTAGTGAACCGGTTCTGGCTCGATCAATTCCTTGGAGACAAAAGGATAACAGGTAATCTTTTAAAGGCATTATCATATGCCATTTCCACAGATCCAAACCTAATTCTTTAATTTCCATTTTATCATAAATCTGTTGTAATTATACTACCATATATAATTGTCGGCTTCAGATTGTTTCTGCTTTTTAATGTGTTGTGTGTTCAGATATGAGTATAGAATATCAAGAAACTTAATACCATTCTCATAGTTCGACCACAGCTTAGAATATTTAGATAACAAAGGAAATTCATCATTTGATTCACTGGTAACCAAAAGCTTGTTATTTTCTGTGAGAATTTCTGTTCGTAGAAGATCTATTACATGATTTTTGAGTAATAATTCAGTCTCTGTGTACAATCTGTCGGCAAAGGGCTCCGATTCGCAGTGCACAGCGAATAAACAACACTAAAGCTGCTATGCCAGTCTTTGATTTCAACTCTTTTCAAGAAACTATATCTTTTACTATTATTTTTAGACCCGCCCAGATCTGATCGAATCCACACTTTTGGGCTTCAGCGACATTTTTAATTAATATATTTGGTTTGAATTGAACTATCACAGACCGTGCATAATGTATTTTAATTATTTTGTTCAACATTAAACTCGTAAGTAACCTACATCTGAATGTCAGGTACTGACAGCTTTTAAGATATTTTAGTGGTTCGCCAATAATATGTCAAATATGCAAATTGCAGAAAGAAAATGTAATCATTTGTTAACATACATGTAAATAGTGATCGAAATTAATCAGTAAAAGTATTTTGACATCATAATGACAATCACATCTATTAATACATTGTCAGTGTGACATCTGTTGGTGATATTGGCAACGCCTATTTAACTA